CCCGCCCCCCCCCCCCCCCCCCCGGTGCTTTCCTTTCTAACACGTAGTGCATTGGCTTTTGCTTTAAGTATTACTGTTAAAATGCTGTTACTTCAGCGTCACCAAATGGTGAGGTTATGGTAGCTTAAATAGTGTGTAAACAACTGTACTGTCTACTGACAGTAAGTTTCTGTTCAGATCAATGTACTGAATTGGCAAAGTTGTACAGCTTCACTCTGAATAGAAAAATCTCACCTGTATTTCTTACTAGTGTAGTGTACTAATGTTGAGGCCTATCCCGATGGGACCTCTTCTGTAGGTTCAGGTCGTTGGAAATGCCTCATAGAGCAAACTTTGTAGTTTCGCTTTACCCATTCAACTATTTGTTAGTTCTATGGGATAAAACTGCAAGACAGTCTTAAAATGCTGTGCCAAGCATTGCCAACTCTGGACATAGATAGTAATGTGTTCTTTTTCCATGTAGGTACTGACTGCAGCGTTTGATGGTGATGGAAAGTTTCTCAGTAATATAAAGTTGCTAGGTAAGAGTTAATAGGTATTGCTTTTTTTTTTTTCCACTTCTAATTGATGTGTTAATTCATGCTGGTCACACCACAGTTTAACCTGTGGTGTTTGTACAGTTGCTTAACATGCTCTAAAATTGTTTTTTCACTGAGTCCTTGCTGTAGACATTTTCGGAAGTTTTTTCCAACCCTGTGATTACAAAGAATTGCATCTGAAGAGAGCTCAAAAGGCTCAGATGTGTCTTAAGTTCTTGACATTGAAACCAAATGCAAAAATACAAAAATCTATTTTTCTGATAACTTTAGCAGAAAGTGTGCATCCCAAACTAATTCACTATTTTCCTTGTATGAAAAGTCCCAGCTGACATTCCTGTCAGATTTTGTTGTGAAGTCAAGTAAATGTGGGAAGGGGGCAGGTGTAGTGCTGCAGCAATCCAGTAGCTCACATTTGCTTTTAATTCTGTTGCGCTTGTTAAAAATAGTCTTTCTCTTGATACAGGCTTGAGTGAGGAGGGAACATGACAGTTTTTATACTGTGTATATCTGCAGTATTTAGAACAGTGGATCTCAACCAGGGTACTGATGTACAGTGGGAGCCTCTTACAGGTGCTGCACAATATTAGCACTATTAAGGTGTGCAAACACCTATGTGGGTAGACGTGGAGATTTCAAATAAGAACACATAGTAGGAAATGTTCTGACCAATTGTGGTCTTTGAGATCTTTGCAACAGAAAATTGCTCTATTTTGCTGTAGTAAAAAATAAAAAGTAGAAGGTAAGAGCTGGCACTTTCTGAGTGGTAGCTTGAGTCTATTGAGGTTGAGAACCATTGGTTAGAAAACTGCTAAATGGCTCTCCTTGATGTGGTCATAGGATGGGCGAGACTTTGATGAAAGGACTGGCTGGAATGCAGTATCTTGACATTAGCTTGTTTGACAGTTAAGAGGTTACCTTTCAGTTTGGAATGTTTTTATTGCAAATATGAAAATGTGAAATAAAAGTAGAAAAGCTAGTCTGAGCTAACCAACAAAGACTGCTGTGTCTAATATTAAGGGCAGGCCACTTTAATATACTTGTTCCACATGTGAAATATAGAATACTTGTTGCATTAATGGCAGCTTTAACATGACTAGGGATCTACCAAAATTTTGGTTCTGGGCAACCTGTAAGACATGAAATCACAGAACAGGGGGGGAAAGAAAGCTGCAAGTGGAGAACTAGAGTAGGATGGGAGGGGGAATCGGGGGAGAGGTAGCAAATCTGAGACTGAGCCCCTGCTATAGGCTCAGTCCAGGAATGGAGGGGGGTGGGGTAGAGGCACCTCCCCTTACATCTCATTCCCTGTTACTTTCTGCCTCCAATCCCACCTTCCCATTCCTTTTCCCTGCCCCCCATTTCATTATTTGCATAACCATACCCCCTGTAGACAGCCCTGCCCCCCC